AGGCGCATGTCCCCACAAAATCCATAGCTGTAGAAGTGGCTCCTTTTCGTTCCGGGTCAATATTTATGATTCTTGTCCAGGGTGAAAAAAGCGAAGGCGTAGTCGATTGTCGAAGGGTTGTGTAGGGATAGAATATCCACCTGCTGCTTGGTGGATCGAATAATTCCATCGTCATGAGGAGCTAACTTATAAAGTAGGATTATACCCTCTTTCCCAGCAGATTTTTGAGAGATTTGAGGCTGTTCCGATAGCATAGTGATAGTTCGAAGTGGTGCGCAAGACTGCGTCCCTGCGGGTCACGTGTTGCGTGCAAGTTTTACCTGAACCAATCTCATTGTTGCGCCTTTCTACGCGCTTTCCTGGACTGTCCTCAGAGCCATTGCATTTCATGAAATATGTGGCGACCCCCATTCGCCCGTCCATGGTGCTCCATTCGAAGTATAATTCCAAGTTTGAAGCAACATAGCCGCTCAATTTCGAAGGCTCAAACGCTATCCTACTGTCCCGCCAGCATGGACTCCCAGGCAGGTGAGCATGTCCATCTGAGCTTGACTCAACGTATCGCTAATCCGTATCAGACTGGAATCCTAATGAAGAATTCTTCAAATTCACGCGTGGCCGCTTTGTTATTGACGAAGCGGAGAATCTTCGAAAGCGAGAGATCAGGTTCGACTTAAACAAGCTCGCATGTGTCGCTGCAGACTCGGTCGGCGCCACTAAGTGCATTTCCATCAAGAAGTACCCCGACGGCATGTTCAACAAAACATTCCTCATGTCTATGGAAAATGGCCGAGAAGTCGTAGCTAAAGTGCCCAACCCGAATGCTGGCATTCCACACTTTACTACAGCTAGTGAAGTTGCCACGATGGACTTTGTAAGTTCATCCTGAACTCCACCATTACTGAGTTTTGTTAACGCATCTGTCTTGGGAGGCCAGAAAAATTCTGGACACACCAGCACCTCGTGTCTACTCTTGGAACTCGCAAGCAAAGTCACACCCTGTTGGGGCTGAATTTATCATTATGGATAAAATCGAAGGTGTTCCGCTGTCTCAAGTCTGGAACATGATGAAATTACCCCAGAAGCTCCAAGTGCTTCTTGCCATGACACGTCTCCAGAAGCAATGGCTGGGCGTTTCATTCTCGCATTACGGCAGCTTGTACTACGCGGGAGACGTGCATCCACCACCAGATAACCACTACATCAAGGATGGCAAAGCTGTCAAAGATTCCGAGTTTGCTATTGGCCCTGCTACAGGCCGGGATTGGTTTGATGGGGGTCGATCAGTTTTGGATATCGAGAGGGGGCCATGTACGTTGGGACTCAGATTATCTTCGTGCAGCCGCTTACAAGTTTGTAGGGGCTTCTCTAATGCAGTATCTGCAAGCAGTCGCGACGCGAGAGACAAAAGCAATCAAGTCTTTGAAACCTCCGAAACAGATCGCCTTATTCTGTGGCCCAAAGCTCTACCGGCCAGACAAGGAAAAGAAGCTTACTGCTTTAGCATGGTACCGACAAATCATTGATGCCCTTATCCCGAAGGACGCTGCCATCACCAACCCGCGCCTCTGGCATAATGATTTACATGATGACAACATCTTTGTAGACCCACACAACCCTGAAAAGATTACAGGTATCATCGACTGGCAGTCTTGCCACATCTCGCCGCTCTTCAATCACAACCCCGATCCAGCCTTCCTTGATTGGGATGGCCTTGAGCCTGAGACGCTCGACCTAGCACCAAGGCCGAACCTCTCTGGGCTTTCACTACAGGAACGGTCCGCGGCTGTGCGCGAGTATGCCGTCCAAAATGTGTTCATTGGATGGCGGAAACTCATGAACGCCAAAAACCCAGACCTATATCGAGTTGTCGAATTCCGAAAGACGGCAGCGTACGGGCTGATATTTCTCGCCCACCGCATGTTCGAATACGGCGAGGCGCACTTCCAATCGCTTCTGGTCGATCTGAAGGACACGTGGGCGGACTTACCTGCAGCCACCGGCGACATCCCATTCCCGTTCGAGTTTTCAGAAGCGGATTTCCAGCGTATCAAGCTGGATAGTGACTGTGCGGTAGCGGGGACAGAGCTTGTCGCGGAGACGAAGGAGAGACTGGGCCATTTGTGGCCGGACAAAGGCTACATCGAGCACGAGCGATACAACGAATGCAAAGCTGCCCTCCGCGAAACTAAAGGTCGGATATTAGAGCAATTTGCCGAGACTGACGAGGAAAAGGCTGAATTTGAATGTTATTGGCCATTCGAATGATCTCTATGATATCGGGGCAAGAACATGATTGTGAGAAAAAGAGAAAAAAGGAACTACGTGGAACAGAAAATGTATTAGACTTTCTATTAGGCCAACATGGTCCCAAAATAGACTGTGACAGCAGAAGTCCAAAAATAAATAGATAAATAAAATAAAAAAATACGAGCTCTTAATTGTGTGAATATGCCACTATCTTTAAGAATCGGGTCCCGACGAAGTGGATTGCAGGTTTCAAGCCATGAAGTTCCAACTTGTCTGACGTGCAGTGGTTGACGTTTGATCAATCACGCAATCAATTAGCTCTTCTATCATCCTCTGTTGCTTCCCTCTTGATTTCGTATGCGGTATTCCTAGAATGAATAAAGAGCATAAGGGTTTTTGACAAGGCTATCGATAACATCAAATAAGTTACTTTCTTGGTTTTAGATACCCAGCGTGCTTTAGTCTTATTATTCCCCTTTGCCAAGTGAGTTCATTGCGGGGCAGAATTCGCGGACTCCTGGCTAGAAGTATTGGACTTTAGATAGGCAAACGAGAACCTTGGATCTCTGCGTAGATCAATGTGTAACGGCCCCTGATTTGCCTATCAGGGGAGCAAGAATGGGGGTGTACTAACGCTTGCAGAATGCTTCAGAAGCAACTTCGACACCTTGCAGAGGCAGTAGTTCGCTGAATCACCCTGGCTATCAAAACGCAGTAATAGACGCTAGCTGATTGATTGTTTTGGTCATAAACAGCTACATCCCAACAGCCTGTAACTGACTGTTCGAAACTAACAGTTGTTCATTATCTTCACGATGCGCTCGGATCCTGCTACGCCTAATATCAAATTGGTGGACTCTTTATCCACTCTACACGAGCTGCTTGAAAACCTCAGGCTAATTCCTAAATCATCACCTCCCTTTTTCGTTGATTTAGAGGGAATCAATCTGGGTCGCAGTGGCTCTATCTCCATTTTATCTCTCTACGCGGTGCATAAAGGGATAACATACCTTGTCGATGTCTACAAGCTAGGAAAAGCCGCCTTTTCCAGCCCTCAGCCCGGTCAAAATACCTCCTTGCAAGGTATTATGGAATCTCCAACCATCAAAAAAGTTATGTTCGATGTTCGTAATGAATCGGATGCATTATTCAGCCACTACAATATTCATCTGGACGGAATACAAGACTTACAGTTGATGGAGCTCGCCACGAGAAGCGGGTCGAAGAAATATGTCGCAGACAAATCTCAGAAAGGCGGAATGGAAAAGACGCAAGGACGAGGTTACCAAGCGTTTTGATCCTCGCAAGGGTGACAGTTACGAGGTCTTCAAAAGCGTCCCTTGACACCAGAGATTAGAGATTACTGTGCTGGGGATGTCTCCCAACTTCCAGGCTTATACAATACCTACGAGAGAAAGATGAGTCCGACGTGGAGAACCAAAGTACAAAACGCAACGAATGGTCGCATCCGGCTATCACAGAAACCTGAATACGACGGTCAGGCAAGTGACAAAGTGTTAGGGCCATGGACGGAAGATTGTAGCAAGGACTGGCACGCTTTGTTTGACGAATGGGAAGACAACGATTTCCTGGATAACTTACGCTACGATGAACAATTCGACAACATGGCTTATGATGGCTGGGATGACTATCCGGATACAGCGCGGGACTGTATTGGATGGGAAGAGGACATGATCAAGAACGGGTCTCCATTATGATTGTGTGGATATTTTGAGTCGATTAGCCAACAAAGCTGATGTATCGAAGCAAATATTTTACTATGCGGAGGCCTTCCCATAGGTACTATTTCCTTGTGTGGATTTTCTGGGAGTCAGTGGTGCGGAAACGACACTCTCTCACGGGATCTTACTTCAGCATGGAGACACACAAAGAAAATATTTTATTCCGAAACACCACTAAAAACAAAAAGGCATAATGCGACATTAGCATACCGAAGATAATGGACCTGACATAGACGGACGCCTCCCACTAGACTTCCGACTGAAAGGTTTGCCGCAGGACTGCACACTCTACGCGGATACCTTCCTGCTCCAAGGTGTAAATATTGACCATACGATTAATGTGGCTGGGGTTCGCATTTTATGGTACGAAGGGCGTCTGTGGATTCCAGTGTGGACCAACCAGATCGGCCGAGGCCGTATTAACGTCCTTTAAATGCCAGAACGTGATGTTGACGCGCTCCCTGTGGAATGCTCTCCGCTCCGCACCGTCTCTCCGGGTAATTCATATTTTTGTCGCTCGTCACTATCCCCCCGCCGATCCTTTGGTGGAGGTGAGTAATCTCTCTTATACAAATGAGAACCAAGCTAACGTAACTGCAGCTTGCAGAACTCTTTCAGGAGTTGCCCCGCTGGATCAATGATCTCACCATACACGAAGAACAGATCTTCAAGCACGTGTGGGATAAAGGAATTCGGGTAGTGAATAGACTTTTCCAGGCGCTTTCTGATGTAAATTTGTCCATCAACTGGAACCGAAATCGAACAATCCGAATTGTGACCAGCTCGGAGAGGTAGAACTGTGCCCACCACGAGGGGAAGTTCTCAGATACCTACAGGACGCCCTCTACGCTTCCCGTTGTTGCATGGATAGCAAAAGTCTACGGTACACACCCTCCACACTTCCTGTTGGTGTTAAAGATATCTGCAAAATTTAACTAATATCCATAGATTATTAAACTTTCCAAGAGGAAAAGACGCATATACGACAGAAAATCGAACAAGGCAGGCCACGCGCCAACCATCTCCAGATACAACCACCATGGAAACCGGGAGATCCGTACAAACAGGCCCAAAGGTGGGACCAAAGAATAAATACAGGCCATCAACATGTCCTGGAACCATAACCATCGTCCGATTAGTCTTGAACATCTGACCAGGGACATACATCGAACGCTGCGGTGTCGGACCTCCAGTTGTATTATGGGTATTTGGCCACTATGGTGATAATCATGCCATCCATGCCTAGTTCTCCATGAAGGACCCGTCGCTGAAGGAATATTCTCGTGCCTGCGGTTCAATTCTGCGGGATTTGATGGCTCATTTGCATATGCTGGAACTCCGGCTTCGAGCTCCGCAATGGAAGGGAGCCGAACGGAAAGTGAGCGTGACGCTTGGGGAGGTTCCGATGCAGGCTGCGAGAGTGAGAATGGAACCGTTCCAGTTCGTCTGGCTATATCTTGTTCTCCTAGCTGCCAGTGCATAGCTTCTGCGGCCCGCCAGGGGACACCCATCTCCTCTGCAACTTTTGCCCACATTTCTGCCTTGAATCTGCTTGCTTTGTCAGTAACTTGGCCGGTTGCCATCTCGTACCATACCACTCCCACCTTTCATATAATCTAGCGAGCTTGTTCTTTCGATCCTCGTCCCACTCACTTCGCCTCTCAAGATAATTCTGGTAGCGCAGGCGACAGCTGGTTGCACTCCGCCCGGGAAGCTCCTTGCTGATATCCTCCCACTTTACTCCGCGCCCCCGAAGCTTGATGATCTTGGCATCTTCTTCTGGGGACCATCTCGATTGCTTGGCCGGAACTTGTGACACGTGCGAGCTATCGTTCTGGACGTCAGGTGCCATTGGTCGTTTTGGGCCGTCTTGAATCATGTAGACGCTCTTCAGAGGAGTATGCGGCACTTTGCGAGGAGAACAGGGAAGAAGAAGCAGAATGGGAGAAGGGCAGGCTTTATATACCTGTAGCTCCCTGGTCTACGCTAATAGTTCTCCTTCCAGTCAACTGGAAGCGACCGCGAGAGACCGCGCCGTTTACGAGATTCGTTGGCCGATGAGCTACGGGACAGGTTCAAGGATCGGATGAGGATGTGTTGAACCAGCTCGTAGAAAACGGTGCCTACAGACAGAGGGGAGACTGTTCCTATGGTATCTGCGGTACGCCCTCCACACTTCCGGTTGATGTATGGGTAGAGAAGAAGTTGTACAAAATTAACTAACTTCATAAACTATTGAACCGTCCAGCGAAGAAGACACGGACGCATGTGCTACAGAAAAATCCAACAAGACACGTTTTGCGCCGGATGGAGGGCGCGACTCACCAAGGCTCAGCGCTACAACCAGCAGTGTTGTCATCGGATGCGATTACCGAAAGAAAAATATGACGAAGAAGGAAAAACAAAGCACACAATCCTCCTCTGGTGAATTTCTCTTGAAATAGGGATGGTGGAAGCTTCCCTACGAGGATTCCCGCTATTCGGCGGAATTCGCTCCCGCGTTCTGGCATACGTTGGATAGAGAACACGATTCATGAGATCCAGCTTTATATCTGGCAGCGTTGTCATTAGGTACAGTTACGCGAGAGAGAAATATAAGAAATATAAGGAACAAATTCATCTCATGCCGCCGCCTGCTTTGAATAGTCGACGAACGATCTCCCCGAACTTGAGAACCGACAGAGAGGACTTGGCAACTTGCTCGTTCATATCAAACATTCTACAAATAAGACTGAGACGCAAGGTACATGCTTCTGCAATCATGGCGATCGACACGGTATCCTAATTGTACATGGTCTCGATACGCTCCGTACGATTGAATGCGCGGGCGAAATCGTCGTTCGATGCCGCAGCCTGCTCTAGATGGATGTAGGACACACGCTCTCCACAGACAGTGGCAAGTGCATGGGCGATCATAACCAGGTTTTTGATCTAAAGAATACACGGTTAGAGATGAGATATGGGAATGTGGGCGCTCAGCAACCTACATCTCGGGCACTGAGATCCAGGCCCTCCAGTTTATGCAGCTTATCACTGGACACTTGTGCGCTCCCCTTATGTGTATCCGACTTTGAAAGGAAACTCC